AATTTCTGTAGTCACCAGTTATCCAAATTAACAAATGGATTAAATTTCTTGAAAGTAGAGATGTAATGGAATAGTCCCTTGGCAAAGCTTCCAGGTGGACCTTTTTACATCATCTGATAAGCCTGGATTGTAATCACATGATCACAGTTAGACCTCTATATCTGTGATTACTTAAGTGCCAGACGTAAATATCAGTCTTTGTATGATAATAAGGGGTGAAGACTTGAAAATCAATGAATTCTGCATCTGTGCTTCATTTTCCAAAGAAACTCTGCCTGAACTTGTCTTCTGTGATGTCAGAAAGGAGGAAAAGAATGGTCTGCTTCTTGAAGCAGACCGTCTATGTGAGAAAATACCTGCCTCAGTGGCTAACTGAGAACCGTCTATAATTGTCACAGACATTGTTCATGGAAAAACAGAAGTTCATCAATTCTAGAAAATGGTTTTGTATCTAAAGGAGTTGTACATTGTGTCAGAAATGGTTTTGGTTAAGTATTCATTTAAGTTTCCTTAAGAAAATAGTGCTGAGGAGAAATTCAGACAAACTGCAGCAGAAACACTATAAATTCAAAATTTGTCAAGCCTGAATTTTTAATGACTGCATCTGAGATCATGTATCAGTAAATTACATGTCTTATTTATATTACTCATAACATTATAACTGTTTCTTCCTTAATGGTCTCTCCTCATAGGGACTTCATTCAATTCATTCAACAAATATCAATTGCCCCACTATATACAGGTGCTGGGGATACAGCAGAGAACCAACCAGAGAAAAATACATGCTTTCAAGAAGATTGTATTTTAGTATGAGAGACAGAAATAAAAATTATATAAAAAAGCAAAATATAAGATATGTTATAAAGGATTTCTTTAAATATTTTTCTCTGCACCACTAGCATCTAGCACAATGCCTGAACATAGTAAACACTCAAAAACTACTCCCTGCTAGATTGATTTACTTTTTTAAAAAAATGAGATACAATTGACATACAACATTATGTTTGTTTCAGGTGCACAGCATAATGATTTGATATTTGGATACAATCCCCATAATAACTAGAAATAGCTTAGAATTCCCTTGCTTCTGGCAAGACCCATCTATTCTGAGTTTGGCTTTTTTTGTTGTTTGCTAGTTTTTAGATTCCACATGTAAGTGAGATCTAGATTGATTTATTTTTCTGATTACTCAGAGGGAAAGAAATGTAATTCTTGAATTTACCATTGCTTTTAATTGTGAACAGCCACTGGAGTCCTGACAGTGGCTAACAGATACAGAGACTGAGATAGGGGATGACAGGGTAACTTTCAGAATAAAGCTTCAGTGAACATGAGCTCTGTTATCTACGAGTAGAAGAGCCTGGAAAACTCATTGATTTTGGTGAGCTTAACAATCGACACAGTCATATGATGTGGCCTAAATGAAAGGAGATTTTATTTCATCATCTATTTTGCTCTTTGCGTCTGGACAACAAACAAACTCTCCTTCTCGTGTACTTCTTTGGCCTCCTTATTTTAGTGGTATTGGGTTACTTAATTGTTTTTTTCCATGGAATAGCCAAACACTTGGCCCTGTCCAATTCATGGGGAGAATTCTAATCTTTAGCAAAGACGAACAACTGTAATGTGCCAAGGGTCCAAAGGAAGATACTTTAGAAGATAACATAATGTTCTAGTTCCATGTGCTGGGTTGCTCTTGGAAACTAGGTAAAAGGCTGTTTATGTGATGAGAATCTGTATACAGCTTTCTGGATCCAAGTTTGGGTGGGCTGACCAGAGAAGAATGCTCTCAAGGCTTGTGAGGTGACCGTTGACAGAGCCCAGGAAAAGGGCAGACCATCCTCTTTCTTACTCTGGCTCCCACATGTCTCCTGCCAGTCTTCTTAGGGATTGCACTTTTGAGGCAATTCTGCAGCATCTCACTCACATACATGTAAATGTGAATAAGTAATCCACATCAGTTCTGATTCTTTGACACAATAATAAGTTTCAAAAACTTACCTGGGGGAAAAAAACACAAATTACCAAAGCAATGCATGATTTTATCTAAAAAATTAATAGAGACAAACTCAAGGAGAAAATAAAAATCCTTGTAATTCTTGAGTCAGAGTCTAGAGTCTAGAGTCAGTCAGTGGAAACATTGATATATGCACCAATCTTTTTTTTCCTGCATGCACAAAATTACATATGTGTGTTTTTCAAAATCAGGATCACATGGTCAATATGGTTCGGTAACTAGCTTTTTAAACAGTTAATGCTGAATCACAAATATTAATGGGTACATATTTTTCCATTATATGAAATTGCCATAATTTGTCTGTTGTTGGTTACTCAGGTTGTCCTGAATTTCAATAATATACTATCATCAATAATATGCTGATGAACTTTCTTTTGCATAAATACTCCACCCACATCCTTATTGGTGGCTAAGTGATCTTTGCTTCTCCTAAGCCAGGCCCTAGAGCAACTTCTTCTCTGGGATGGTCTGGGGGTTAAGGAGGAAGAGGGAGTTCCTGGGCATTGGCCTCGTGTTCTGGGGAGAAGCCCGGGCACTGGCTTCCCTCAGCAGAGCCCTCAGTGTGTTTTCATAGCTGGTGACCACACTTCTGTCTGCAGGGAGAGAGTGAGAGAAGTGCAGGCCAGGTAACTCAGGCATTTTTTAACTTGCACGTCTCTAAGCCAGGCCCAGCTGTCTCTAAAACAGCTGTTCATGCAATTACACTGAACATCTTTGTTCCCAACTACACAGAGCAGTGTCTTGGCTAGACTCTGAGATGCCTAGGAACACATCTAATCGTTAATAGGGCATGCATTCTTTTAATCCTTGTGAGGCAAGAGAAATAACTATTTGTTCACCCTTGAAAAAACACCCAGCTCTCCCCCCAGCAAATAGAGTAAGTTCTAGAACAGCAGGCATATACCTGCTGTGTTTGCCATTGTATCTCAGTGTCTAGCACCTTGACTGGCATAGAACAATCGCTAAATATTTGATGAATAAAGGAAAAATATGAATGAAAATATCTCAATCCAATTGCCATTCAGGTCTTGGCCTTGCTTTCTTGTAAGGGGAAGTTGGCCCATATAGGTTTGTTTCTTCAATCCTGTTGGCTAACTTGGGGAACACTGATTTAAGAATCCGTATCTGACCCAGGTACTGGTGTATGGGGACTGCCGTTTTTTTTCTGTTTTGAAACTTGGTTGGCCTTATTTATCTACAGAATGTTTAGACCTGCAATTTGATACATTATTCCCCTAGCAAATGAACCCTGAAGAAAAGAACCATTTCCCAAGGGTTCTGCATGGAGTACAAGATCCTGTTACTTTTAGTGATAACAGACCATCTTGGAATACTTCAGTGATGGATGCTGCTGCAGTAAAATATTTAGAAACATATTAAGCCTAAAAATATTAGACTATTGTGATGGATTATTAGATGTTTCTCTGATGTTTAGTTGCTGTGCTTCTCAAAACATTCTCAATGAAAAAAATGCAATTTTATTCATTCCAACACTTAGTGGTATATCCTGGGTGTCAGCTTTGTAGTAGATACTAGAACTAAAAAAAATTAGAAAAAGAAGTGATGTTTACAGATACAGAGATAAATGCATGATTATCATACAGTGTCAAGCGATAGAGCTGGGTGTGGGCAGGGTGCTGTGGGAGCACAAAGGAGAGAGCAACTTGCTAATTCACCTCAGTGAAGTTGGGGAAAGTTTCGTGAAGGTGAGCCCAATTTTACATGGGTTTTGAAGGAGGGATAGGAGTTTGTCAGGCAGAGAAAGGGGAAATAGGAGTTCAAAATAGTAACACCACTAATGCTCAGAAGGGCCTGATGCATCTGGGCTGGGTGAGGTCTTCACAGTGGGTGGAGCATAGAGTGTGTGCAGGGGTGATGAGTTTGTAGAAGTAGACTTAAGATGCTAAAGAGTTTGTACTTTGTTGTGTTGATAATGAAGGTTTTCATAAGGGACATTTATCCTCCAACCATTAGCATCATCAGGCCAAATTAAGACATCTGTTTCTGATAATGGCCCATTAAGAAGACCAAGGAAGCTTGATTCTCTTTGCATTTGGGTTTTAGGCTTTGTTATTTCCTCTTTTAGTCTTGGTGGTGTAATAGTTGTAGCTTCCCTTAATTTTTCAGTTTCACCTTTTGTTCATTTATTTCTTACCTGCTTTTATAAAAGCAAGGTATTTTTAAAGCCTTCTTGTTTGTCTGTTTTGCAAGTATTTATTGGAAGTCAAGGCTGGACCCAATGATTAGGCCAGTTCTAACATGGGGCTGGGACTATTTACGAACTATTTATGGGACAAATGAAACCAAAATTTACATTGTTATTTTTAAGTGTCAATAGTAGTGTAGAGGGCAACTGATTTCCTCAAAGCTCTTAGAGAATTCCATTGCATTCTTAGAATATTTTCATCAAGTTAAGGCTAGGGTGAAGACATGCAGAAAAGGGAATATGAAATAGGAGACTTTGACTAGTATCATTGTAGTTACCAAGCAGAATATTCTAAAAGTAACATATAAAAGAACAATGCTATGTACCATGTGCAAATTAATATCAGATGCTCTAGTTTCATTTTTAAAAACTTATCTGTAGTTTATACTTTATGATATCTATAATTTATTTACATAAATAGACTTCAGCTTTACATTGAAATATACAAATGTGTGTTGGCTATGAACTTACTATTCTCAGAAAGATGAAAAGGTCAGTTACTAGTATCAGTGATTGTTTTCTCTTGAGGCATTCTATTTGTGCACATTTGCCTTACTGTGATTGGTTTTGTAGTTCTGATGTCAATTTGAATTCAAAGGATTAGATGTCTACCTCAGTGTCTCTGCTGTTGTTCATTTCATTTTGTCAATATTTTTCAAAATAACATCACTGTAGAAAGTGAGATGTATACCATGTAGCATAGCTAGTAAGTTTAAAAGCTATAGCACTTAGAAAATGTTCATATCAACTGATTTCCCTATTCTGTTTATTTTGTAGGTGACAATGGCCAACATTGGAATAAATGGAAACCAGTCTCTGGAGACATGCAAAACAATACTTTTTGCTCTCCGAATGGCAACGTGGAATCAAATCTTAGATCCCTGGGTGTATATTCTCCTACGGAAAGCTGTCCTTAAGAATCTCTACAAGCTTGCCAGACGCTGTTGTGGAGTGCATGTCATCAGCTTACATGTTTGGGAGCTTAGCTCTATTAAAAATTCCCTAAAGGTTGCTGCTATTTCTGAGTCACCAGTTGAAGAGAAAATAGATCAGCAAGTACCCAGTTTAATAGGACAGTAAGTCAGTGTAGGTCTAGGACAAAATTAAGGAATGTTTTGGCAATATTTCAGTTAATTGGTTAAATATGTAAACCCTAACTGGAAAATACAGACCTTAGCAGGTATTTGGGGGGCACTTCTGTCAGATTTGGCTTTTGGAATTTGTTAAATTAACTGTATAATTGCACATTTTCAATGATTTTTGTCAAGAGGAGGTAAACACATTAAAATAATGCCATGGGAGTCCAGTTGAAAACAATTTTGGGCTTATCTGTGTTATTCATGCTTTTGAAATTAGTGACTATTGAAACCGAAAGCATTTGCTTGTCTTGTTTGCCAAAGGACATTTTAAAACTATCTGCAACTGAAATGCCTTTTTGGGGGTCACTGCTCTGCAGTTGTTCCTCATAGGCAAGGCTCAATGAAATGAAACACCCTCATTGTTTGGTCTGGTCTGTTTTACACCACATTATTATCCTCAGTCAATATGTACATGTCATGTCACATAGGATTCACTGCGGCTTATTTTAATGACCTCTACATAGAGCAGGTGTGGCTGTCAGGTTGCCTGATCTTGTGCGCCTGGTTAGATTGAGCCTATTCTTGTCTTATTTGGCAAATATGACTGTTTGCATTTATTATTAGTAAAGTCAATTGCTGTTTGAAGGTTTTTTTGGCAAATCATAGATTTGCAGTTTTCAAATGATCCCCTTCTGAAAATTCTAGTGCACAGTAAATATATTTTAGAGAAACGAAGGTTTTATCTTAGTGCATTTATAGACCATTTGTATCCTAACACTTCCTAAGCAGCTTGACCATGGATAGTGAGTCAAACAGAACTTAAATCCCAGGGATGGGTGCAAGGTAAAGTTGCTTTACCTTGAGCCGTCATTTCTGTCAGAGAACAAAAGGAACATAGTCTTATAATATTCAAAGACTATCTGCAGCTAGTGTGTTTTTGCTTTCCACTTACATGCACACACACAGACATCAGAAATTTCTGTTGAAAGTGGGTTCATTAAATCTGTGAGATGGCGTCTTCTAAAGCCCGTGTTACCTGTATCAGGGAGGATTGGCAGTTAGGCATTTGGAAATCATTACAGTGGTTAACCAAGAGATCAAGGGGTAATATTCTCTCCCCCAATTTCCCAATAATACTTTAGAGTTTTTTCTTTGCTTCCTTGTATAATTCAACCTCAAGAATTTTAGTAATCATTCAAAATGTCCCAAGTCTATCAGAGCACAGGGTAGGTAGTTCTGCTTTATAATAGGGCAATTCATTCTGTGAGTTTTTTTGCCTTCATTAACTGGGATCCATTTTAAAATTAATCTTTGTAAGACTGATTTCACATTCTCCAGGAAATCTGTGCAGTTCAAGTAGTCCTATGTTCACAAAATTTTGCTTTGAACTGGTAATTTACATAGGACATCATTGCTAACTTTTGTGAATTTTGACAAATTCTCATGAATACATTAAAAGGAATTAAACAAATGATCCCATTTAAAGGCAACCATCTTTCTAGTGAATTTAAAGAAGGGAAACAGACATAAACACAATGGCACATGATATTCTTAACTGAAGAGTAGTTAATGATTAATTGAACAAATTTAGATTATTCTCATATAGAAAGCACACACAGTAGAGGCTCCATAAATACTTGGAAAATTGAGTCACAGACAAGAATTTCCTGGTGCAAAATAGGCATGGCATTGCAAAGGAATTTTTGCATTTTTAATTTAAAATGACAGTTACATGTTGGCTATGTTGAGATACATATGTGAAAGCCATTGTAATTTGTGATTGCTGTTAAATTGCATAAATGTTCTCATGACATTGTTTCAAGAGCACTTTAAATCTGTAAGAACTTTTAGATGGTTTAGAGGGCGTATTTATTTCTCAGAACTACTTAAGAGAGTATTGGTGCCCTGTGTACTGAGACACAAGGACCCACAGCTCCCTCTTTCCTTCTCACGCTGGGTGGGATGCTGCAGTGAACACGTCCAGGTATTAGGATCCAGGAGAAGCATGGAAGAGAAGCTCTCATTCGGAGTCCGGGATTCTTTTCCTTGAAGCTTCTAATAAAATGACAGAATCATTGCTCTCATGCCATGATGATGCCCTGGCCATATGTATCGGAAATATTGTGGCATGACCATGTGGGGGAATGCATGAGCATGTACGTTTTGGGGAGTGACATGGGAGTTACTCTGTCCATGTCCTGGAAGGATTATCTATAGTATATGAGCATAGGTTTAGGACAACTAAGTTGGTTTTTTGATAGTGTTAAACCCAAAAAGTAGACACCAAAAATTGAAAAAAAAAATTAGTGAAAGAATATATGTTTACATTGTTTTGGCTTTTCATCCAAGAAAAATAAATTGAACACAACAATATACATATCTGATTTCAGAATATTATTTGCTATTATATATATATATATATATATATATGTATTTTTCAGTGTAATTTGGCAATTCACTGTATAGTGAATTATAGAGTGAAACATCCACTAATAACTTTTATGTAAATGTTCAAAGTAGAAGTGTATTTGTTTAGGTTACTGGAAATAAATAGTACAAGTAGTGGTCAACAAGTTTACCAATTTTGAAGTTTTAAGCTCTTTTAAAGCTCATAATTAGATCATCAGAGTAACTGAATTTCCCTTCTCATGGGGTAAAATAGTATCTAAGCAACTTCACATACAATTAAATCATATTATTTCTGGGGAATTACATTATTCTGGGTAAATGACTTGAAAGTACCAGGCTTTTTCTGATGTCAATGAATTTAAAAATGAGATTAACAAAAATCCCAACAGCACATGACTATGAATACAAGACAGATAATGCTGACTCATAATTAGTTGTGGATGCATCCCCAAACGTCAAACTTTTTACTGAGAGTCTTAATAGAAATATGCTCTTTAAAATTTGTTTCTAAAGGCATAAAGTTGCTTTTAATTATCTGTATTGCTGAAGTGGAAAATACCTAAAAGTTAACATACATTCACACATTTATAGATACATCTGCCTTATGTAGCAAATGTCTTGTTTGCTCATTTTCCGAGTTAAAAAGAAAACCTGCTATTCATTTTGTGTCTAATCTGAGTTTAGAACCCAAATAAGAGCATTTGCTAAATATATAGAATTAACTTTTTGTGAAATTTGTTGCTAGCTACATGTCTGTCACCATCATTACTCCAATTTAACAAACTCTCATGTCAGACTATAACGGATGGAAATGTACATTTTCTTACCGCTTCATCTGGGTGTTGGAATATTTTACTACCTGAAATAATGTTGGAATTCAACTTGTTACACATTTTAACAGTAGATGAAATGTGTTATGTGAATAAATGTATTTTGTGCTCTTTGTACTTTTTGGAGTGTGTGAGACCAAATAGTGATGTGTATATTTTGTTGCTTGCATCAGTATGCAACTCATGTAATTTTAGTGCTTTGACTAGTTTAAAACGTCAAACAAAAGATTTTGTAATAAACTTGGACTAGTGTTTACAAGAGTGGTTATTCTTGGGAGGTCACATAAGACTTGGAACTCTTGACCATCACTTGCACTTTTTATCTGCTACTGGTTTGGGAGAATTTCAACTTATTTTCTGTTGAAATTTTCTGCCTGCTCTTCTACAGCAACTGCTTTCCTTCTTTTTCCTGTGCTTCATCTTACCTAGGCAGGTTATAATTCTGATTGGAATTTGATCATTTCCAAAACATAGTGGCCTAGTGTTGGCCAGGATCACCAAGACATGTCTGTGATAACAAACAAGCCCCCAAATCTCAATGCCATAAAACCACAAAGGTTTATATCTTACCTATGGTCCTGTCCACTCAGAAGGGAGCTTTGCCCACTGTAATCACTCAGAGACTGCAGGTGACAGTGCAGCTGCCATCAGATGTTGCTGTGTGCCATGATACAGGGAAAAAAGGCATGGTGAATCCTGCACTGCCTCTTAGAGTGGCCACCCAGGGGTGATACATACTCCTCCTGCTGACACATCTCTAGTTGAAGCGAATGATATGGCCCCAACTCCAAGGGAGACAGGTAAATACAGTACTATGATGTGCCCAGGAGGAGAACTGAAAATGTTTAATGGACAGCACTAATGATTTCCACATTAGTATAATATTTTTCATTCTTGCCTTCCTAATATAATTCAAACTGGAATCATTTAAAAAATTTTTTTAAATTTTGGAACATCATGGCATGAAAGCATTTAGGACTTACTCCTCTGAATGTCTTGTAATCTATAAAGATAAGGCAGAATGAGTGCCAGAAATACTGTTGGCAATTAACAGAAATTTATATGGTGAAACACCACTGTAGGATAAAAAGTGGAAAACTGGCTCTCAAAAAGGCAGAAAGTGAGACACTTCTGTACACTATCCAAGCATTGCCTAGTTGCAGCATTGTCTCTAATGATTGCTTTTCTAATAAATGAGGACGTTTGAGATATATTTTTGCCTTTGCACATTTAGTTACCATTTGATAGAATCTGTTTACCTTGATATACCTTGCATATGAATTCTATACAACTATCAGAAAACCTGAAGTAGTATATAATAGCAGTGGAGCAAGAGTGAACTACATTTCTTTTTCTTCAAGGGAGAACAGTCCCTCCTTTTTGGACCTAAACATGACAGTATTTGAAAGAAATCAGAAACTTGGATAAAATTTCATCTTAGTCATCTCTAGATGTAAGTTCATATATACCAAATATTTTCTTCAAGGCTGCTATAGAGAGTTATTGCAAAGAATTTGTGGCAGAGCTGTCTAACTGCCTTGAAAGTGATATGCAATTATAAGAAAGTAGTTTAAAGGGTTTTTTTAAATTAAGGTCTCATTGATATACACTCTTATGAAGGTTTTACAAGAAAAACAATGTGGTTACTACATTCACCCTTATTATCGAGTCCCCCCCCCCATACCCCATTGCAGTCACTGTCCATCAGTGTATTAAGATGCCACAGAGTCCCTATTTGTCTTCTCTGAGCTACACTGTCTTCCCCATGACCCCACACATACCATGTCCACCAATCATGATACCCCACAATCCCCTGCTCTCTCCCTCCCCTCCTGCCTTCCCCCACCCCTCCCCTTTGGTAACCATGTTCCTTCAGTTTTGCTTCGTTGTTATACTCCACAAATGAGGGAAATCACTTGGTATTTGTCTTTCTCTGCCCGACTTATTTCACTGAGCATAATACCCTCTAGCTCCATCCATGTTGTTGCAAATGGTAGGATTTGTTTCTCTCTTAAGGCTGAATAATAATATTCCATTGTGTATATGTACATCTTCTTTATCCATTCATCCACTGATGGACACTTAGGTTGCTTCCATATCTTAGCTATTGTGAATAGTGCTGCAATAAACATAGGGTGCATCTGTCTTTCTGAATCTGAGAAGTTGTTTTCTTTGGGAAAATTCCTAGGAGTGGAATTCCTGGGTCAAATGATATTTCTATTTTTAGTTTTTTGAGGAACCTCCATATTGCTTTCCAATTTGAAGGATTTTATGCTATCGAAAATCTCCTATTTGCTAAAGTATATTTTTACTAAATCTGTTTTATGAAAGAATGAAGGAAGTACCATTTTACATATGTCTTATTCATAGTAGAGGCAGGATTGTTGAAATCTAAAGGAATTTTGGATTTAAAGTGCACTTCACATTTCCACTTAAAAAGGATATAAACTGTCTTAGAGTTTTGAATTTTGTATCAGTTGAATTATTTTCAGTGTCTGATTGGTAAGACCTCAAATTAACCAAATGCACTCTGTTGTTGTAATGCTAGCTTTGCCATGTTAAATATGGCAACCCTATACTAACAGACACCTACATAGTTCCAATTTTTAAAAAATGAGATTATACAAGACATGCTGTTGGGTTCTAAAACTTTTTTTCCGATGGTCCATGTCAGTACATATAGAATGTTCTTTTTAATATCTAAATAGTCTTACATAATATAAATATACCATAATTTAACTATTTGCCTACTGAAGGACAGTTGTTTTTTTCTTTCCAGTTCTTTCAATAATGCTTTTCTCTGTGTTTGTGGGATTGCTGGTGTAAGGCATGCTCTTTTTCAATGTTGTTATGTACTGCTACATTGCAATGGGTCCACTCCTTCTTTTCTAAGAGTAAGTGCCGTATTCCTGACATTACCTACTATGTATTTCAGCAATTGTTTTATTCTCATCAATGTGACTGGCAAAAAATAAATAATAAATTTAAGTCATATTTTGTTATGTTATTTGTATTTCCCATTGCTAATGAAGCTGAGCCTCTTTTCACACTTTATTAGTCAGTTGTGATTCTTCTGAAAAGTTCCTGTTTCTGACCTTTCCGGTTTTAGTATGTTAACTTTGTTTTATTGACTCGGAGGACTGTGTATATTAAGGATACTGTCTTAGTTAGCCTGGGCTGCTATAACAAAGTCCCAGAGGCTGGGTGCTTAAGCAACAGAAATTTATTTCTCGCAGTTGTGGAGGCTAAGTCCAAGATCCAGGTGCCAGCCACTCAGGTACCTGGTGAGCGCTCTCTTTCCAGCCATCATACAGGGAGAAGAGAGAGAGCTCTGTGGTCTTTTGTTTTTTTTCGTTTTAAAATGTTATTTATTGAATGACTGAACTATCTTTTAAAACCTGTACATATAAAATTCCCTTTACCAAATGAAAAACGACTATTCCTACATCCCCACAACAATTTGTGCCCATATAGACATGGCCTCAGAACTCCCGACCCCTTGATATGCTCAGAACAACCAGCTGATTCCTGGGGACAAAAATCAGTCAAAAGGTGCTGTTTGGTTTGTTCTGCATGGTGCTGAACTACTGGGTTGACGGCACCTAACAGGGTGCTCTGAGTGGCAGCTGTAACCAAGGGTTTCTCTCCCTCAAAAAGGCTCTTTCAGAACAAGCAGTTCAATGCTACTGTCATTCTAGGTTAGTTCTGGTCTCTTTTTATAAGGGCACAAATCTCATCCTAAAGTTTTCACCAACTCATGGCTTCATCTAAATCTATTCCTCCCCAAAGGCCTCATCCCCAAATACCACTGAACTGAGGAAGAAGGTTTAAATGTACCAATTTTGGGGGGATATAATTCAGTCCATAGCAGATATTAATGCTTTATTTTTTGTATGTGTCACAAATAATATTCTTCCAAACTGCCATTTTCTTCTGCACTGAAGATGTCTTTCACCATAGCAAGTTTTACATTTATACTGAGGCAGAACTAATCTTTATGGAATCTTTTATTTCTTGTCTAGACTTTCTCTCCTTAGATTATAAGTATATCCTCTAATGTCGTTTCCTACAATTATAGTTTTTTTATATTTAAATTTTGCAGGTTTCATGGAATTTATTTTTTTGTGTCATGTGATATAGGATCTAACTTTTTTTAAAATACCAAATATATAACCAATAGTTTCAATGATAGCAGTTTTCAAAAAAAATTTTTTGTTATTCTTAAAGTGTTATCTTGAATAGATTTCCATTAGGCTTTTTGAAATACTGGATTTAACTCACCTGGCCTCTATTAACTCATAATGGGAAACACTAGTCTGGACCACATAATAATGAAAGTACTACTAGCTTTAGTGTTCAACACTGACCCTAAGACCCGTCACCAGTAGGACATGACCTTTGAATTGTTTTTCTAGTAAAGAATATAATTTGATGTAATGTTATGCCTTTTTTCCTTTCTGCTAGACGAAAGTTTCCGGATGGCTGGGTGGGTAATTAGGAGTGTGGTAAGGCTGCCATAACAAAGTGCCACAGATGGGGTGGACAATTCTGGATGCTGGGAGTATGAGATCAAGGTGTCTGCAGGGCTAATTTCTTCCGAGGTCTGTCTCCTTGTGCTGTACGTGGCTGTCCTTTCCCTTTGTCTTCAGTTTTTTCACCAGTATCTAGTCTCTTCTTTATAAGGACACGAGTCGTAGCGGATTAGGGGCTGCCCAGGTCTGCCCTCATTTAACCTTCATTACCTCCTTAACAAGCTTATCTCTAAACTCAGTCATGTTTCGGGGGTTAGGAACTCAACATATATGAAGTTTGGAGGGATGAACTTCATCCCATAGCAAGAGTATAGCCCACAGTATTGAGATGTGACAGTAACTGCCCATGGTGTTGAGGTAAAGTGACAGTAACTGGCCCACACAGAGCTGCCTCAGGTTTATTACCCAGTGGTTCTCACATGTTAGCATGCATCTCTTTTATATGAGATGGCAGATTGCTGCACCCCACCCCAGTGACTGATTCAGTAGGTCTTGGGTAAGGCCAGAAATTTATATTTCTAACAGTATCCCGGAGGAAGGTCCTAGGCAATGCTGACTTGAGAAATACACTTTGAGAAACACTGGCCTAAACAACTATGCTAACCAGCCACAGGTGCGTGGTATGAAACATGCAGTGAACCACGAAGCTTTTTGACAATGCAGAATGGTACCAGTATTTTAGTACTAGCAGTTTAATTCCTTTCTTAAATACTTTTTTTGTCCTCACCCCAGACAACCTGGATCTTAAAAATGTAACAGCTATGGAAAAAGGGCTAGAAAAACATGGGATGATATAGATGGACAGTAAAAATCATGTACAAAAAGACAGCAGACATAGGTGAGGTCATGGTTTAACTGGTCATATACCTCTTACTGGTGTCAAAGGATTTTTGTTGTCATAGAGATAGGCAAAATTCCCATAGTAGTCAGGAAATACCGCTTACATTTTATAACTAACCAAAAGCTGTTTTTTTTAAATGAAGTAAGAGGCTATTTGGATTAATTTTACATTTTCCTCCCTCCACTTTCAGCGTTTACAATCTTCTTTGATCCCTGCATTTTTCTGCTCTTTTTTGAGTCCAATTGGTCTTAAAATTATTTCCTACTCTACTAAAATAAATCTTGAGTCAGTTGTTGGCTTTCCAAGGTATACTAAAACTTTTTCCAGTTCCCCCAAAAATATAACACTAATATTTTGGGGATAAGTAAATTATTACAGTGGATCCAAAGCAATTAGGATATTGGTAGAGAACAAATAGATCAATAGCAAATACAAATACCTAAACTCAAAATCTCATTCTAAAGGCATTAAAAACACAGGGTCTTTTATGTAAGTCCAAATAGGTGGTATTTCTAAGGTAAGGAAAAGAAAAGCTATAGAAAAAAGCCCAGGTTGTGCTTTTCAAAACACAGTTCTGTGCAGGGAAGTTCTCCCTCTTAAGAAGAATAGATCATTGGTGACTGGGAGACTTATTATGTCATTATTAAACATATCAAACATAAACACAGATAAAAATTTAGTAGTCACTTATTTGAACACATCATTCTGAAATCATAGTGCCAAATATACTATTTTGTAAAACTTGAACTATCAGAAGAGTTGAAAACACCAACAGTATATAGTTTACTGAAGATTATGACATTTGTTATCACTTCATGATTTTGGTCTTATAAGATTAGTGATTTCCTTAGAGTAATACTAAAAAGAAAATGCAAAACAGAAAGCTCAAAAATGCTCTGAGAATTAAAGAAGCTAAAATTACAAATACTACATAGTATTTGCTTTCCAAATTGTGGTTAGGCAGCTGTTAAAATTGCCCTTCAGTGATGATTCTACTGATGGCTTAGGAAATAATGGCATTTCCCATAAGGTAGAAGTTTCCAGAAGATCCAGAAGGCTATGACTCCTGTGGATCTTACCCTCTTTCTGATTTGTGGAACATACCTCCCAGCTCTTACTAATTATATTAGTCAGAATTTTGTGATGATCAGGAAGTTTTCCAAGAAGAACCCCATGTGCCAAGGCCTTGAGGGGAAAAGGAGCCTGGATTTGTGTGGTGGCTGTGGATTTTTTGTTTAATAAAGAGTTATAAACTGTTTTTTGACTACTGTGTTTCCTAAACATGTTA